GCAGCAGGAGCAGCACCGAGGTCAGGAGGCGTCGGAGGCAGCAGCGGCAGTGCCGGGCCGGCATAGTCCCCAGGCCGCCCTCTCACCACGTCGCAGCCGCCGGGACCGCCACCTTGGCTCCACGAGAGACCATGGGCTCGTTAGGGAAAGAAGTGGTGGCCGGATCCTAAACTAAGGCCCAGGACGGCAGGTGGCAAGAGACAGCAGCTCCGGCCTCTAAGGCGGCGGCGAACCGGAAATTCGTACATCTCAGCTGCCACTGCTGTTAGGGACGCTTACAGTTGCTAATATGGAGCGGCCGGACGCACTCTGTGACGTCAGACGCTGACGCTATGAGGGGAGGAGGGAGGGGGAAGAGAAGGGGCGAGCGAGCGAGCGGACGGCGCACGCGCAGTGATGGTAACTAGTAGGGCAAGAGCCATGGGGACTGTTTGCTTGCTCTTGCGCTTCCTTATTTAATACAACAGGGAAGGTCTGGGTTAAGTAAGTAAGAAAGTAATTTTTTTTTAAAATTTTGTGCATTAAATCTTCCCATTTGGGAACCATAAAATATATGAAGCTCATAATTTGAATTATTTGATGGGAAACTGCAAAAACACACATAAGCAGTAACCAAGATTGACTTAAATTTCCCTCCGTTTGATTACAGACTAATCAGGTCATTGTTTTCTCCAGGCCCCTGACTTTACATACATCACTTAAGACAGTGTAGAATTGTAAGTTTTTCTGCCACTTTGAAATCTAAGGCTTTTTATAAAAGGCTCTTGTCAATTTCAAGAACCTGGAAGTCATTCCTCTAAAATGTAAAAAGAAAAATAGCACCCTATTCCTACTGTCTGTGTAGGATAGGACCTTTACCTCTGCAGGTCCTTGGTTCAAGTTGTGAAAAGATCCCCAGTGATGGAGATAGGAGAAAGTTCGATTCTTGTTTCTGGTATGTTCAAGTATCAAGCACAAGTGGCCTGTGATCTGCCTACCCAGCACTTAAAACTCTCCAGCTCTTCATTTCTTTTACGGAAACTGAGCTCAAACTGAGTTCTTGCAGCTCTCCTCTATTGCAGAAATTGATATGAAGTCTGAGTTTGAATAGATATTGACAAACAGGTAAACATCTGACCAGAATCAAAGTAACTATGCTTTTAAAAATATATTTGTTTGATAAGTTACTTAGAACTCAGACTTTTGGCTTGGCAGTGTACAAACTTTGACTATTGGGTAGTAAATAGGTAAAACTTCCATCGTACCTTCATAAAATTTAGGTTTACTAGGGAGAGTGTGGGCAAGGAGGGGCAGAAAATGATCAAAGTATTTTTGGGTTGTACAAATCTGCCAAAATAAAACCTATTAGTCGCATCACTAATAAGGAAGAAAAAAGTTACATCAGGGTATTTAGTATTTGCTGTGTATTTATAAACTTTATTAATAGTATTAAATCTTAAATGTATATAGAAAAAACTCAAAATACTACCAAGTGAAAATAGTAATTACATATGGTGGGTGTTATATTTAGTAATTAAATTGGCAGTGGTAAAATTATTTCACGGTGTATATGTGAAACAAATCATAATGCACAGCTTGAATGTGTGCAATTTATATTGGTCAGATATACTTCAATAATGCTAGGGAAGCACAAGAAAAATATTTAGGCTCAAGCAAAAATAACTAATAATGACAGTAAGTTTGAATTCTGAAGTGTGTTACAAGTGAAATCTACTATGAGATCTACTTTACAAACTTTGAAGGGGACAATTTTTAGTAAGGTGGACAGGATGAGTCTTAGCTGCTTCAGGAAACTGGAAGATGCCTTGCTAGAATTGCCAGGAGTAAGCATCTTAATGTCGGTTGAACCCAAATGTCAGCTTTAAACCCATATTTATCTATAGTAAAGTAGGTCGCTTGATTTCCCACCTTCCTTACATGGACCTTTGTCCCAAACCACACATTAAAGAACATTGGTATGTGGTAATGTCACTCTTCCCCAGCCTCCCAAGAAAGTCGAGCTTTAGGTAGCCGACACTTCTTCCCAGTCTTGGGAGGCTGTAGTGGCACAAGCTTCTCGCTCCTCCCTAATTCGGCTGTGTTACATTGGAAGCAGCAAAGCTTGGCTGAGTTCACTCCCAGTCAAGGTCAACTGACTCCAATTTTCCCCTCTGAATTAACATCTAGCAAAGGTATTCTTGTGCCCTCATTCTACAGTCCTGCTGGATACTTGTTATCAGCAGGTGTCCCGAGGCCTGCCCAGTTTCCCCTCTTCCCACACTTGCAATAAATAAACCGTGGATGTCCCCAGAGTTCTTCGTCTTTGCTGCCCAGAGCAGCTTAGATCAGCCCAAGACTCAGTTTCTCTCAGGTCTCTGTCTCTGTGCGCTTCCTTTTTAAATTGAGTTTATAGCGCTTGTATGACTGATAATCTGTGGTTTGTTTGTTTTTTTTTTAAATTCTCACTTTCCTGTCTTATGGATGTCATACTGGCTCGCAGGAGGCTAAGACCACTGCAGGAGGGTCTTTCAGTGTCCCACTACTCTTTCCCTATACAGTCAACTCAAGGAAAGAGTAAAGAAGGAAAGAAAAAAAAAAAGAGAGCATGCATTACCTTTCCTGTCTTTCAAACTATAATTTTATCCTTATTAATTTCATCTTTCTTAATGGAATATCTTTCCTCCAGGTGCTCAGGCACAAAACTGTGGTGTTATGATCACCTTCTACTTCCCGTCTCCAGCAGTCCTTGCCAGCAGTGGCTGGGACAGGTAAAAAGCTAAATGATTCTGAATTTCAGAGTGAAACACATGTTTCCAAATGGTTAGAGGAAACCAGATTCTAATGTTTCTCAAAATGTGACTCCCAACCACCTGAATCAGAATAAGGCAGGGCATTTCTTTAACAATATATATGGATTCTAAGTTACGTTTCCTGAATTTCTCAATCAGAATTTTGGAAAGTGGTAATATAGACCATATGTGCCTTTTTAAACAAGCACTTAGGGGTGATTTTGATTTAGACCTAAAGTTTAAGAATTTTTCCTTTTCCTCAACATTTGCAACTATCTATTGTCATATCTTGTTTACTTCCCTAACATCTTTTCTGTTATCTTTCTTCTCCCTGTTTGTAATAAGTAATCATTAATGTATTCTAGGGATATATGTTTTCCTGTTTGCCTTGTGGCCCTTTATTCATTTGAATTATGTATCTTTCAAGGTAAACTTTTCAAGTTCAGATCTACCTTGAAATAATAATCAACAAGCAGATTTTTTTTCAGAAATTAAATAAAAAATCAGAGTAAGCCCACAAATAACCTAGAAACTTTTGTGTTCTTTGTAGAGTATCATGTTTTTGTAAAGCATGCCTTAGGTTTATCACAAGAATGAGCAACAGTTTTCCTGACAGAAAATACTGTTTTGCTGGTGCAATTTAAAAAAGACAACTGTGAACATACACATCTATTTAGAATAGTTTTTAGATAGGTGCAGAGTTACATGCTCTTAATTTCAGTAGTTTGATAGGCTAAAGCAGGAAGATTGCAAGTTTGAGACTAGCCTAGGTAACTTAGTGACGAGGAATACCCTGTCTCAAAATAAAAAGAAATAATAAAAGGACTAGGTATGTAGCTAATATGAAGGCTCTAGGTTTAACCCCAATACCACACATACATTTAAAAATTAGATTTCAAGTTAATATAATTAGTTGTTTCTGAATTTTTCTATTAATATACTTTTACTTGTCACTTGACTTATATTTTGTCCCGAGTACTAAACATTTAAAATACCTAATAGATAAATGTTTCTAGTATGTTTTTATCAAATTTCTTAAATTTAGTGTATACTAAAAAAAGGGCAATATATTTTATGAAAGACAAAAATACTTATATTCAACCAAACTATCATCTTTCATGGAAACATAATTAAAAACCGCTGAACTGTTGAATAAAATCTGAATTCACTAGCTTTAATTGAATAATTACTATTAACATGAACTACCTAGTATGTACCAGATTTCATGCTATCAGAAAAACATTAAATGATTAGCTTTTTTCTCCTTCAAAAAATACACCATAATTGTTCCTATTTTAATACTGAGGAAACTTCAACCCTGGCTAATTAATTTTACTAAAATTCATGTGATTAGATTAGAAACAATAGGATTGAACATTGAACTCTGGTAGTCTAAAGTGAATTATTATATGAGACATTATTTTATTCTAATTAAACATTTCTATGATTTAATTGTAGCTTATTTTCTCAATCAACTGTTTCTACAAAATGCTGCATAACCAACAGCTAATTTTTTTTTTCTTCTAGTATCAGAAGCTTGTATGGGTCAGGTTCTTATAAGGGTTAAGGTTAAAACTCCCTGAACAGAAAGTCCGAGTGTGTTTATAACAATACCGGGGTGGGGGGGAACAACCTTGATATTAATAGGATTTCATTTTCAGTTCAATAGAATGGGTGAAACCTAAAAAGTAGCAATAAACTCAACGAAAGAAAGAAAATTTTGTAAGTATTCTCTGGTATCAAAGTCTCCTTTTTTATCCATTAAAGATGAGGATCCACTATACTGATAATTTATTAGCATGCCTATAGAAGGAATATCATGCTTTTCTATATTAATGATCAGAAAACTCCCGCTTTGTTATGGCTTATACCTATATATCCTCCACAGCTTCCTCCAATCATAGGTGAGGTTTTGGGAGTGACTGGATCATGGTGTATGTTAATGGGTCATGAGTACATGATACCAGATTAGACCACTGATTAGCTTTGTGTGGTTCTGGGTGTGAATGATGGATTGATTAACTGAAGAGGGAAGACCAGCCCTAGGTGTGGGTAGCACTAATCAATAG